GCTCCTGTGCTCCCGATGTGTTCTCATCTCTATCTACTCTCTCTCTCTCTCTCCCTCTCTCTCTCTTCTCCTCTCTCGTCGTCCTCTCTCTCATTCTTCTCTCCTAATAATACATAATATAATACAATTACACTATACACCGGCGCGCGCACCCGCACGCACGACACACAAAATAGCACACGCACAAGCACACACACAACACACCACAACACACCACCACCACACATAACACACACCACACAAACACCGTGCTCTATAATATAATATATATATATTATATAAGATACTTTAATTAATATCATAAGTTTCCAAATGCAAGTTAAAATTACACATTAAATTTGAATGACGAATGGAGACATAATTATGCAGCTAACGTTTTCACTTCATTAGCTCCTTCAGGCGAATGGAACATTTACCTCTGAAGATTAATGAACGTGAAACGCTACGTGGAGCGATCATATTATGCACACACAATTGCTTTCAATATTTTCTGTATATAATGTATTAATATATATATATAACTCTATTATAATACATATATAATAAATATATATATATTTAAATTTCCTTTTTGCATATCAATTTGCTTCGCTCTCGCGCGCGGCTTCTTTCTCATCTCTCTCCTCTCTCTCTCTCTCTCTCCTCTCTCTCTTGTCATCTTTCTCTCGACGCGCGCTCTCCTCACCTTTCGTCTCTCTCTCTCTCCTCTCCCGCTCGCTCTTCTCTGCTCTTCTCTCTCCTCTCTCTTCTCTGCCTCTCTCTCTCCTCGATCTCTGTCTCTTCCCTCTCTCTCCGTGTCACCTATACTCATGCATGTCATACATAAGGTTTTCGTGTTCGGGACTGTTGAAATCAAAACCCGACGGCAGTCTACTCCGAGTGCGCATCGACCGACTGACGTGTGCAAATCCATGGCGTGAAAATATAGGCGCCCATCAGATTTCCTCTGCCTGCCGAAGATGTGCGTACGCCGGTACACGCGGCAGCGCACACGTACAACGCGATGTGTCGACAGACGTTACTCGCGCGCACATACATCATCGCATGTGCTGGACAGGACGCGTGTACAGCGCGCGCAGCATACATGCATCGATGTGTACTAGAGCGTGAAACCGCGCGCACATAATGCCAGCGATGTGGACAGAGCGGTACGCGCCGGCTCCACGACTACATCGCAACGAATGTCTGTGACAAGCGTATACGCGCGCACATCATGCACGCGATTGTACAGAGCGTGTTCCGCGCAGCACATACATGTACCAGTGGAACAGAGCGTGTAACGCGCCGCGCACAACATCACAGCGATTGGTAGAGCGTGTCGCGCGCGCACAAGCAAGCACGCATGTGTACAGAGCGGTACAACTACGGTCGCAACATATCATGCACCGCGAATGTTCGACAGAGCGTGTACGCGCGCATTTTGCCAGTACCAGTGGCGATTTGTGACAGAGCGTGTACGCCGCGCACCGATA